TTGCAAATAAACATTCATTAGAAATTTAGAAAAGTAATCAAAAAGTAATCAGTTACATTACTTTAATAAAGTAATTGAAAAAGTTACACTACTATTACATTTTAAATAGGGTAACTTGTAATCTGTAACCTATTACATTTCCAAAGTAACCTTCCCAACACTGTATATTATACAGTATAATATGACATGCTCAGCATTTTCTTTAACCCCACAGTTATCACAATTCTCATTATTCCTTTTCCCCATTAAAAACAAGGTGCTATTCAGTCCTGTGTGATCCACTCTCAGTCGTCTTATTAAAATTTCTTCCAGCCTATTCCTTTCGCTATCATTTTTAATGCTAACAGACTTTTGTATTTTATAATACAGAAATGAGTCTTAGACAACGTCGACCTTTAACAATGGTTCCCACATTCAAGTTAAACTTTCATTTTAATTTTAGTTAAAGTTTTAGTAATTGTGTTGTGTTTTTGTCGTGTCTGCATAGGTATTATCAATTTTATTTCAGTATTAGTCATTTTAAAACATCAAGTAATCCATGAATGAAAATGCCAAATGTTTCAACTAGCTGAGATAAATAAGAATAATAATGAGTTTAAGTTTTTAAATGTTTTTTTCATCAAATTTTATTTTTATTAAAAAAAGTGTATACGAATAGAGAAATAAACAATGACTGTTCACAAGTTTATATTTGGTGTTCATAAAAAACAACAATGTATGTTTTATATACATACTGCACATAAATACATCAACATATTAAGTACATAAAAAGGAGCAAATACATAAATTGTTATTTATGTATAATTTAACAATTTTGTATTTGATACATCATATTAATAATACATATGATACATATTAGCAATATGCATTTAGCAGACTGGAATACTGTATTTTGTAATATTTTCTGGCTAATTTGGATGTTGACATTTTAACATTTTAAACACTGAAGAACAACAAGTAGAAAGTTATTAACTGATAATTATTGCCTTTAGCCACAATTATGATAAAGCGTAACATGTATACAGTGTAGCAAACATAATTTGCGATATCAACAAACACACAAATTTGTATATGATTGCTTGGCTTTGGGTAGGAGCTTGTCTTTTATGAATCAGAGATTGATCTCATTATAAGTAAGCTGTTTATGGATCAGATTTATTCCCTATATTACATTTCAGGAAACATCTGATCCCCAATCAGCAGTCCAGCTCTGCAGTGCTTGTGTATTACATGACCTCACACTTTTCAGCAGACTGTTTAAGGTCTTCGATGGTGGACTGGGCCTTTTCTTTTAGCTGATCAATATCTACGTTCTGAATGTTGGTCAGCTGACCCAGGACGGACTGCTTGTGCTCCTCCTCCTGGTTGTCTTCGGCGATCATCTTGGCCAGCTCTGTGGGCAACTCCACGTCATCTGCCGCAGCCTGAATTTGCGTTTCGTCCAGTTCACTCTGTTAATTAAAAATAGTAGTTAATATTGAAATAGCGAATTACAATGGTTCATAGAGTGCATTTTATAAAGTGATGTTTACTTTTGGAAGCCGATATTTGTCCCTGAAGTGGCTCCTGACTGTGGCTCTTTCAGCCTTCTTTTGGGCAAAGCTGGCATCCCGCTCCATCCTAGTGGGAAATAAAAGT